AAGTAAATAAATAAATAAATAAAAGTATGGAGCCAGCCGTGGTGGCTAAGTGGTTAAAGTTTGGCACTCTCACTGCTTCTGCAGTCCAGGTTCATTTCCCTATCGTGGAACCACACCGCCATCTGTCAGTTGCCATGCTGTGGTGGCGGCTCACACAGGAGAACTAGAAGGATTACAACTTACAACTAGGATATGTAACCATGCACTGGGGCTTTGGGCAGGGAAAAAAAAAAAAGAGGAAGATTGGCAACAGATGTTAACTGTTAGCTCAGGGCGAATCTTTCCCTGCAAAAAAAAAGTATGTATGTATTTGTGTGTATGTATATATATTATATATATACATTAATCTTCTGCCTCTTCATACTTGTGAATCTTAAGATATGTCTTCTTTATTTCTCCTGTTCTGTTTTGACATTGAAGAGTATGTGGCAGGCAGATTTGGCCAAGATGACTCTACTGGATACGCTGTTTTTAATCTTGACGAGAGTTATGGAGAGAACTTCACCCTCTCCATGTTTGTTCGAACACATCGACCATCAGGCTTACTTCTAGCTTTGGAAAACAGCACTTACCAATTCATCCGTGTTTGGCTGGAGCATGGCAGACTAGCAATGCTGAATCCAAGTTCCCCCAAATTAGTAGTCAAGTTTGTTCTTAGTGATGGCAATATCCACTTAATATCTTTGAAAATCACGCCAAATAAAATTGAACTGTATCAGTCTTCACAAAACCTAGGATTTATTTCTGCACCTACTTGGAAAATGCAAAGAGGAGATGTCATCTACATTGGTGGCCTGCCTGACAAACAAGAGACTGAAGTTAATGGTGGATTCTTCAAAGGCTGTATCCAAGATATAAGATTAAATAACCAAAATCTGGAATTCTTCCCAAATTCAACGAGCAATGCATCCCACAATCCAATTCTTGTCAATGTGGACCGGGGATGTCCTGGAGACAACATGTGCAAGGTAGGATTATTCATACCAAATGTGTCCATGTTGTATGCTAAAGTTTGATTTTGTGAAATTGATAATTTATTATAACCCTTCTTTGTATGTGAAGATGATGTTGCTGACCCACCAGCCGTAGAATAATATTTCATCAATACTTTCCCAGCAAGACTGGGGGGTTTATATTGAGCCATAAAAATATGGCCTTGGCCTTACTGGCATCATGGTCTATTTAATTAACCAAGATAACTCCATTTACATGCTTCTCCTACTCCCACAACAACCAAATTACTTAACAATAATCATATTTTAGTTCCCAAATTCTTAATGGCATCCCAGAGTTTTAACTGAATTAACTCTTTTTGGAAGATACAATTAACTTTATCTTAAATGCCCAACTACATTATATTGAACTTCTAAGTCAACAAGAAAAAAAATCTGAGAGGTAACTTCCTTCTGGTAGTTGTATTTGAAATTCTCTGAAATATAATTTCTCAGAGCCCGTGCTTTACTTTATATACTTTGTATGCTCTTCTAAAAGCTACTTAAATGTGTGAAATTGTCAGCTCTGCATGAAGTTTCAAAGGAAAAGACAGAAACACATTTATTGATATCCATTGAACATTTATTGAGCTCTGACTATTGCTATGCACTGGGCTTCCTTTTAAATATACAAAAATGGGGGCCGGCCCGGTGGTGCAAGCAGTTAAGTGCTCGCGCTCCGCTGCAGCGGCCCGGGGTTCACCGGTTCGGATCCCAGGAACCCACTGACGCACGGCTTGGCAAGCCAAGCTGTGGCGGCGTCCCATATAAAGTGGAGGAAGATGGGCATGGATGTTAGCCCAGGGCCAGTCTTCCTCAGCAAAAAAAGAGGAGGATTGGCAGATGTTAGCTCAGGGCCGATCTTCCTCACAAAAAAAACAAAAATAAAAAATAAAATAAAATAAATAAATAAATATACAAAAATGAATGATTGTGACATTATTGTAGGAGCCTTCCAATGTGCCACTAGCAATTTTACATGGATAAATTCATTTAACTCTGTTGAATGACTACTGTGTAAAGCAGACATTGTTATTATCCTCATTTATGTTATTTACAGACAAAGAAACTGAAGTTTAGAAAGGTTATGTAACTAGCCTAAATCACAAGTTAATAGTGGAACTGGGATATAAACAGTCTGAGGTTTCAGAAACTCCTTTTCAAATCCTTTCATTTTGAATACTTTGTGAGAAACCTTGTGAGGATGCAAATAATGATAGTATGTCTCTGATTCAGAGGCCAAGCAATTGAAGGGGGTCAGGGGTGGTCACTGTAGTGGGACCCAGAGGATCCAGGTACCAAGCTTCACTGTTTGACTTTGTGATAGGATCTTGGGCTTCAAGAGGGCCCTCAGTTTCCTCATTGGTGAAAATGACTAATAATCTCTACCTAAAATGACAATTAGTGTAATGGAAAGTTCCTGGTTATTTGTAAATTACAAGGAATATTATTACACCTTTTAAAATCCTCCCTGTGTTGTGGATCAATCTTATATATTTTCTCTTTCTCTCTCTCTCTCTCTCTCTCTTTCTCTGTCTCTTTCTATCTCTATCTCCATTTCTCTCTTTCTCTCTTAGAAAAGAGCTGGCAATGGGAAGAGTAAATTTTATTCTATTTAATAACCAATGGTTATAAAATGTTTAAAATGTAAATATGTAGGAAATTAGCACTGAAAACAACAGATATGGGGTCTTGCCTCACCATGTCCGTATTGAGTTGCCGGTATTTTTTATACCTTTGATTTCTCTTCCGCTCAGTCCAATCCCTGTCACCACGGAGGTGTTTGCTATTCCCTGTGGGATGACTTCTCATGTTCCTGCCCTGCGAACACAGCTGGGAAAGCCTGTGAGGATGTTCAGTGGTGTGAGCTCAGCCCATGTCCCCCCGGAGCCCAGTGCCAGTTGGTGCCTCAAGGATTTGAATGTAGGTGGCGTTCAGACTTACCATCCAGCCAGTTAAGTTGGGCATTTCGCTTGTTTCAGGAGGCAACCCAGAAAAAGAATACAGACAAAAGCAACTTCCTATAGAAACCTGTGATTTTCTCCCCTAACATGAGCAGTGTGATAAGCCAGATTGGCCTCACGCCGCATCCTGCCCTGGGTTTCTGGGTGGGAAATGGAGGTCATAGCAACACCAAACCTAGATCCTTGATCATTTAAAGCTAATTTCTGGGGCCGGCCCCGTGGCTTGGTGGTTAAGTGCGCGCGCTCCGATGCTGGTGGCCCAGGTTCGGATCCCGGGCGCACACCGAGGCACCACTTCTCCGTCCATCCTGTGGCCGAGTCCCACATACAGCAACTAGAAGGATGTGCAGCTATGACATACAACTATCTACTGGGGCTTTGGGGGGAAAAAATAAATAAAATCTTAAAAAAAAAAAAAAAAGCTAATTTCTGAAGAAAGAGTTAACCTGGTAAAATCTGGCTTTTCTTCCCTGGTTATTGGGAAGACAGTAAGTGCACTGGTGTTAGCACACTGTCATTGATTAACTAGGAGACCACAGACAGTTCACTCGATCTCCATAATCTAAAACTTCCTCTGTAAAATGGAGATAAGATATCTACTTTGTAGGTAGACAGATGTGTGTGTGTGATGTTTATATGACTTTAGGTGTAAAGAGCCCAACACACCAGGCCCTGAATTACTGTTTGCTATGAGTATTTCCCTCGATCTGAAAGGTGTTCCTGCCCATCTTCAGCACTACAGAACACAGTTTCCCAAATGTTAACAACTATCTTCACAACTTTGACATGTCTACGTACCGACCACATTATTATTTATGTTCTGTCTTCTCTCCTATTTCAAATAATGCACAGTCCAGTCTATAGCCAACTCTCTGTTTGCACTGAATTCTAATCTCTTCCCCTTATTCAAAAAATTTGCTTCTAAAATTTTTCTCTCACTCTCTAGCATCATAAATTTTTCCATCAGCATATAAGCATATTGTCAGATTTCCTCATTACCAAAAATTTTCCTTGACCACTCCCATCCCCACTAGTTACCATCCCATTTTTCTGCTTCCTTTTATAGTGAGAGAAACCCTCTAAAGAGTTGTCCGCAGTATACCTCTGATGTCTTAGTCCATTCTTTCCTTTACCCCATTCAGCCAGGCTCCCACACACCAGCACCACCTCGGTCCTGAACTCTCTCAACCCAGAGCTTCATAGGTTGCCTTCATCGCTTCATTTAGTTTCTACCCAAATGTCCTCTTACCTGGCTTTATTTCTTTTCAATATCTCTTATCATTCTTTCATGTTTTGTTATATACGTACTTGTTTACTTGTTCATCGTCTTTCCTCACTAGAATATAAGTTTCAAAAAGAAAGGAAATTTCCTATTTGGTTTCTCACGTTACTCTTAGCACTTAGCATATACCAAACGTATAGGAGGTTGTCAATAAATATTTATTAAATGAATAAATTAGCTTATTATTTTTCTTTAAATTAACTTAGTATTTTCACTAACTGCTCTAGACTTTATATAAGTTATCTGTGTACAATAAAAAAATGCATAAAATACCTTGGAAAACATTGCACTAAAATAATGGAACGAAACTAGAGGATAGACTGACCTCAAGTCCCTATCAGCAGCATCCTATGTAGACTGAGCCCCAAAGTGACTGAAGAAAACAGAGGAATATATTTACTTTTATGTTGCTATATTTTAAAAACATATATTAAAAAGTTACATTAAATGTATTGCACGATATGTGGAATTGGGGAAGTTTCTTGAAGAATACATATACTTTTATGTTTCGTATTTGAGAAGTATATACTATACACATGTATAGTAGCATAAAGCATAATGAGCTGTCATAAAGAATGTATTCTAGCTTCTAATATGGGACAGAATTTTTTTTTTAATTTTATTTATTTATTTTTTCCCCCAAAGCCCCAGTAGATAGCTGTATGTCATAGTTGCACATCCTTCTAGTTGCTGTATGTGGGACGTGGCCTCAGCATGGCTGGAGAAGCGGTGCGTCGGTGCGCGCCCGGGATCGAACCTGGGCCGCCAGCAGCAGAGCGCGCCCACTTAACCGCTAAGCCACGGGGCCGGCCCTGGGACAGAATTTTAAACACAACCTTTTTCATTTTTCTACCTCTGAACTGCTTGTTTAAAATAATTTAGTAATTATTCATTGTATTCTTAATCTTTCGACAGAAATACTAAAGATGTTAGTCCCAGTTATGTTCTTCAAACATGACATGTTTACGTCATTTTGAACATTTTCACGTGGGGAGAAAGAACAGGATTTCTAAAGACGGTAGCAGTGCAAGAAGCACACCCCTGATGCCCGTTGTTCTTCAGTCTGCACGGGAATCAGTTTAGGGTTTGGACACAGCATGTTAGAAAGAAGTGAACTTCACTGCTACTGCGTCGCTGCTACGGAAGGAGTAGCAAGTCTGCCTCTGACCTCCCGGAAAGTCTCAGGAACATTTTTTTTTTTAACTGTGACATATTAATGAAGGGAAAAAAAGTAAATTGATGGGAGGGGTGAATTTTTCCTAATTGACAGGCAGGAACTCTAGAATTCACTTTTGCTACTTTGCATAATTTTAATTTTATGTGATCTTATGACCTTCTTGCATTTATTTATTTATTTATTTGTGAGGAAGATCAGCCCTGAGCTAACATCTGTTGCCAATCCTCCTCTTTTTGCTGAGGAAGACTGGCCCTGAGCTAACCTCTGTGCCCATCTTCCTCTATTTTGTATGTGAGACACTGCCACAGCATAGCTTGATGAGTGGTGTGTAGGTCCGCATCAGGGATCCAAACCTACAAACCCAGGGCCACTGAAGCAGTATGCAGAAACTTAACCACTACGCCACTGGGCCAGCTCCTCTTTCGTATTTTTTTTTCTAGTAAAATATATTGAGAAGATTAGGTCTAATAGAATAACATGCTCTTGCAAGTATAGCTCATGCATTACCCTGAATTTTCCTTCAGGACCTTAATCATCTCTCTCTCTCTATCAGAAAACCAAGATTTAAAAATTTACAACCACCTTAGATACAGGCATGTTATTATGATAAAATTCCCTGAAGAAAAAGTGAAATATAAATGTTGTCATGTGTCTTGTGGTTTTTACGAAGATCACAAGAAGTGATTTCAGTGTGCTCAGCAGTGTTAGTAAAATGAATTTATACAGCATCACAGACAGTATTCTTCCTTTAGGAGTTGAGAGCTAATGAGATTTGTCACTTTAATATTTATTTAAAAACATGTAATGAGATACTTGTTGCTCTTTTCCTCCCTAATCCCAACCCCAAACCTGGTGGAGAAAACAGAACAGTCAAAAGCAATAAAGTCAAGTGAAATTTCAATCCAGTCAGATAATACACTTGAATGATAGACTTGAATTTTCTCCCACTGTGGTTTCTAATTATTATCTCACTTTCCAGAATTAAAGATTGAATTATTTCTATAGATTATTCATTTAGTAATATTTACTGAACACCTGCTATGTGTCAGGTAATGTTCTAGGCATAAGAATTTATTTATTTATTTGTGTGTGTGTGTGAGGAAGACCAGCTCTGAGCTAACATCTATTGCCAATCCTCCTCTTTTTTTTTCCCCAAAGCCCCAGTAGATAGTTGTATGTCATAGTTGCACATCCTTCTAGTTGCTGTATGTGGGACGCGGCCTCAGCATGGCCGGAGAAGTGGTGCGTGGGTGCGCGTCCGGGATCCGAACCCAGACTGCCAGTAGCGGAGCACACATGCTTACCTGCTAAGCCACGGGGCTGGCCCTAGGCATAAGAATTTAGTGATAACCTAGACGGAGGTGGTCCCTGATCTCATAAAGCTCATGTTCTAGTGTGGAAAGACAGACAAGGAACAAGTAGGAAAATAAACAATGTAATTTCAAATAGTTATAAGATGCTATGAAGAAAGTAAATCTGAGTAATAGAACAGAGAGTGGATTCAGGGAAGAAGCTATTTTAACTTGGATAGTCAGGGAAAGCTTCTCAGAGGAGGTGGCATTTGAGCACATGTCATGTTGAGAAAGAGCCAAGTATGGGAAGATCTAGGGGAAGAATATTCCAAGTATAAGCAACAGCAAGTATAAAAGGACTGTTTTGGGAACAAGCTTCCTGTCTTCAAGGAGTAGCAAGAAGGTTTTGTGGCTGTAGCATGTGAGTGAGAAAGACAGTGGTAGGAAATGGAATTGGGGAGTCAGTCAGGGGTCAGATCATGCAAACTCCTGTAGGCCATGATTAGGATTTAGGAATTCTTTCTAGATGTGATGGTAACCAATGGAGATCTTGAGCTAAAGTGTGGTTGTTATATTGGTCTGCAGAGCAATGGAAGCAGGGACGCCGAGAAGTATAACACACATATTTGTGTGCTGATACCTATAAGAGAAGGGTTGGTAGTTGGGAGTGGTGCCCCACAAATGAGGTAGAGACAGTGTTTTAATGTCAATTTCTACCAAAAGGTAGAAGAAAGTGATAAGAGAGAATTGACCACTGAATTGAGTAATACAAAGGTCATTGTGACCTTGACAAGAGTGGTTTCAGTGAAGCGATTGGAACTAAAGGCAGAGCGGCGAGTATTAAAAAGAAAATGGGAGATGAGAAAGTGGAGACAATGAGAATTTAAAATTATCTGGAGAAGTTTTTCTGGGAAAAGGAATAGAGAATTAAGAAAGTAACGGAGTAGGGGAGGTCAAGGTAATGCTTTGGGTCTTATGTGTGTGTTTATTTTTTTAAGATTAGAGCAGTTACAGCATGTGTGTGTGCTGAGAGAAAACAACAAAAAGGGAGGGAAAATGATGGTGCAGGACAGAGAGAGGTTAAGTGTAGAAACAATGTCTAAAAAAATGAAAATGAATGGGACCCAATGCATGACTAGAGGGGTTGACATTGGATGGTGCGTAGGATAAACCTAGTTTTTTGCCTGAGGAAGGAAAACCTGGTTCTCTCTCCTATGTGTCTTTGCTTCACTTTTACACTACTACCACACTCACAACACTTCTGACACCACATGTGTGGGGGTTTTCCCTCACCAATCAACCCTGCAACACCAGTTGGGTGTCCTACTATTTAGCTCAATTTAATTTGCTTCTGATAGCATCAGATCCCACAGGTTAAGGGCTCAATTTAATTTGCTTCTGATAGCATCAGATCCCACAGGTTAAGGG